AGCTGCCACAGTCCTGAAAGGTCAAGGTCGTAGCTGCTACAGTAGGGTCATAGTTGTGTAGAGGCCGTAGCTGTAGCAATTCTGAAAGGTCAAGGTCGTAGCTGCTACAGTCCTGAAAGGTCAAGGTCGTAGCTGCTACAGTATCCGAAAGGCCAAGTCCACATCCTTCCGGAAGGTCCGGAAGTGGCCTTTCGAGTTTTCCCTCACTTTACCCACAGCAAACCAGAGGCAAGTGGGCAAGTGGTGAGTCCAACTTCGCTTAGTCAGCGGTACCCAGTCCCAGTCTCACTTTGTACAGTCAGCGGTACCATGAGGGACTGTGTGCACCATGGGCCCGGTGGAAAAGGGCAGACCGGTGACTTACAAGAGGCAGCGTCCAGCCATTCATTCATTCCTGCGTAAGCCATGCGGAAGCGCTGCCAGGCGACTTGTGCGAGGTGGTCTGCAGATGCCCGAAGTCGAAGTGGGCTGAAGGGAGATAGTTCGTCTATAGCCAGTAGTATTAGAGTCGCCATAGCCGCTGTAGCTTAGAGGTAGAGTTCAGTGTGTGTGTGTGTGTGTGTTTTGTACTGAGTTTGTGTGCGTGGGATATCCAGGGAGAGCCAGAGTCGAATGCGTGCAAACGGTTGTGTGAATACAGTGTCGGACAGAGGATATATGAGCGCCCAGGCCCCATAGCCAGTTGGAAGCGAGTTTGTATCCCAACTGTGTTCTCGACTTGAATATCTCAGAGCTTTGTGTGGGCGCACAGCGCCAGCGTGGATTGACATCTGTTTGGATGTATGTGAAGTGAAGAAGAAAGCGAGTCTGATTCCACCATTCTTCAAGTCAATCTTGGAGTATAGCCTGCACCCCTTCACGTCATCGATCCACCACATCATCGATCCACCACATCATCGATCCACCACATCATCGATCCACCACATCATCGCTCCACCACATCATCGATCCACCACATCATCGATCCACCACATCATCGATCCATGGTAATCAATCCATGGTCTTGATAGTGATGGCGTTAAGCCCTCTGTAGTCGATACACATGGACCGCGTCACCGCTCCATCCGTCTCGGTCACAACGATTCGAATTTCGAACACATTGATACCCCGAATGGGAGAGGTGGTGGGTCAGATCCACCTGTTCTCTGTGAGCTCTGTTCATTGTTTGTTGAGCTTATTGCAGATGCACTGGCTGGGGAGATATGATAAACATGCATCTTCAGGAGCCTAATCTACCTCCACCTCTACTCCTCTGTTAGCATCGAAGACCAGATGGATGCAGTGCTTAATCTTCCTCCCTCTACTGCTCTGAGCTCTCTTGCAGATCTTTGAGCTCCTTTCGAAGTTGCTTCGCTCTTTCTTGGCCCTCTGTTGTGTGTGGGGGGGGGGGACCGCACAGCTGCCCGAGTGACCCAAGCTTCCCTCGATGCAAAGCTGCTGCTTCTGTTGGCAGAACGCTCCTGGCGCAGCAGGCAGGACACGCCCCCACGAAGTGACGTGCTCCTCAGCTCCCTTCATGTAAGCTCTCTTGAAGGCAGTCCAATTACCTGCTGTAGTCTTGCACTCGAGTCCTCGCTGTCTACGTAGAGAATTTGACGTCAGTCAGTCAGTCAGTATCAACTGTTCTGAGCCACCCAAAAAAAAAAAAAAAAAAAAAAAAAAAAAACTGTTCTGAGCCACCACTTTTTTGACCAAGAGTGGTCTCAAAAATAGACAGGTTGCTTTTGTTTGTGTTTAAAAAAAAAAAAAAAACCAGAAAAAAAAAAGAAAAAGGACCAGAATCACATTACTACTAGGGGCGATGATACTGGCAAACTCCCGTAGTACGTATTCAGGGTTGCAGTTCAGCATCCAGCGGCTGACCGAGCCCAGGTACCTCGGGGTCTGTTTATCCGACTTATGGTATGGTCAGTTCATCATTCAGCGGCTGACCGAGCCCAGGTACCTTTTAGTCACATGAGCTGTGTAATGGGGCCATTTGTTGGCTTGTTATTTCAACTTAATTGGGAAATTGTGACAATTTGTTGATGGTTGGCAGTGTTTTGCTTTTTTGTCGTAATTTGGCACATGGTCGATGTACGTGGCAGGCTCGAAAATTCAAAGGGAAGCCAATGATTGCGGAATTGAGGAAGTGGATTCAAGAAAAGGCGGAGAGATCCATCACAAGTGCAAATCAACGGCGAACAGCAATGAGAAGCATGATCAAGTTGAAAATCCCAGCAAAGGAGGAAAACTCCTCCAAGGGAAAAACGAAGAGGAGGTGAGAGAGAGAGAGAGAGAGAGAGAGAGAGAGAGAGAGAGAGAGAGAGAGAGTACAACAGGGAGGGCTTGTTCATTCTCCACCGTCAGCCCGCCACTAATTTACAGCTGAAAACCCCATCAAAGGAGGAAAACTCCAAGGGAAAAGCAAAGAGGTGACAGTGTGGAAGAGAGAGAAGCGACATGCAAGAGAGAGAGAGAGAGAGAGAGAGAGAGAGAGAGAGAGAGAGAGAGAGAGAGAGAGAGAAGAAGAGCGCTTCTTCTTCATTCCCCACTGTCAGTCCGCCGCAAATTTAGTGTCTCCCATTTCTATCAATAACATAGCAGCGGTGGTCCCCACCACATCTGCATTTGTGGATTACATGTCTGCGATTCTTTTTTCCTTGTCTCTTTTCTTTTTTTTTTTTTTTTTTTGTGCAGAATACAGTTTTTTT